CACCTGTAATCCCAGTGCTTAGGAGGCAGAGGTGGGCCAGGAGTTCAAGACTAACCCAGGCAATATAGTGAGACCCTGTCTCTACAAAAATAAAAAATAAAAATAAATTAGCCTGGCACGGTGGCGTGCACCTGTAGTCCCAGCTACTCAGGAGGCTGAGGCCGGAGGATTGCTTGAGCCCAGGGACTCAAGGCTGCAGTGAGCTGTGATGACGTCACTGTACTCTGCCTGCACAACAGAGTGAGATCCCATCTCAAGAAAAAAACAACAAAACAAAAAAACCTCGCCCATGACCTGGTGTCTTACCCCCTGAAGAGCTGAGGAGATGTAAGTGTGAATAATTCTGTCTAATGGATTGCTATCATCCATGTTCTTCTCAGTGTTACAGGACAGGGGTCCTGATCCAGACCTCAGGAGAGGGTTCCTGGATCTCGCGCAAGAGAGAATTCAGGGCGAGTCTACAGTGCAAAGAGAAAGCAAGTTTATTAAGAAAGTAAAGGAATAAGAGAATGGCTACTCCGTAGACAGAGCAGCCCCGTGGGCTACTGGTTGCCCATTTTTATGGTTATTTCTTGATGATACGCCAAATAAGGGGTGGATTATTCATGCCTCCTCTTTTTAGACCATATAGGGTAACTTCCTGATGTTGCCATGGCATTTGTAAACTGTCATGGTGCTGATGGGAGTGTAGCAAGGAGGACAACCAGAGAGGTCACTCTTGTGGCCGTCTTGGTTTTGCTAGGATTTAGCCAGCTTCTTTACTGCAAACTGTTTTATCAGTAAGGTCTTTATGACCTGTATTTTGTGCTGACCTCCTATCTCATCCTGTGACATAGAATGCCTTAACCATCTGGGAATGCAGCCCAGTAGGTTTCAGCCTCATTTTACCCAGCCCCTACTCAAGATGGAGTTGCTTTGGTTCACACGCCTCTGACATCAGATCAGTGTTGCTTGTTATTACTCTTATTATTTTCATCTCAAATCTGAAGAGTCACCAGAACAAACTTCCTTCTGCCCTTTGGTTTGCTCGCTCCCCTGGCTCCCAGCAGCAGGGGGGCTGCTGACAGTGGGCAGATTTGTGGTTGAGTTCCATGGGGGCTGGAGCTGAGGCTCAGAGGCAAGCCCTTTTGACTCATGTCGTGGGGTCCCAGAGTGAAGCTGCTCTGTGATTGCCCTGGAATTCAACACGCCAGAGCTGCCACAGGGAGATGGCAGAGGCTGCTTGGTAGCTGAGAACAAGAGAGATGCCCTAGGAGATGCTCAGAAACAATCCGAGGTTCAGAAGCAGGGCCAGAGCCCCCAGGAATGTGAGCAGAGTGGCCATCGGTGTTCCAGCCCCAGTGTATTAACACCTATGGGCTGGGTGACCTGGGCATCTGAGCTTGCATTCAGAGGTGTCATAGATGAGCCCCCTGGGGCCTGTGCTGCGGCTCCCTCCCCAACGGTGGTGTCTGATGACAGGGTTTTGCAGCAGGCCATCTCCTCCATCCATTCCTGATGGTCAGAAGGCGGGAGAGCCTGAGAGGACAACATCTCCATCAGCACATGGGAACTCCCAGGGGGATCCCTCACTGTCTTCCCGAAAGACACAAATTCCACAGAGTTTGCGCATCTTGTTCACAGGGCCCCACCTACGTGGTGCTGATGGCCTATTCTCCATCCAGATAGCTGAGGATCATAGTTTGTACTTTAAAATGATGTCAAGCATGCTCTTAAAATGCCCCACTAGCGATGCTAGTTGTCATTAATGTAATGTTAATGGTATCTAAAGAGGAGTAAAAATTTGAGCAAAGTGCCAAAAAAAAAAAAAAAAAAAAAAGGTAGGATTCTTGATTGCAAGTCACAAAGCCCAACTTTTTATTAAAGTATAACATACACACAGAAAAGTGCCCAAATCAAAAGTGTACAGCTCCAAGAATGTTCACAAACGGAACGCACCCAGGTAACTGGCAACCAGATCAAGAAACAGAACATCCCAGAAGCACCCACCACCTCATGTCCCTCTTCTGGTTACTATCTTCTTAGGACTGATCTCTACTTGCAACCACAAGGATGAGTTTTGGGTTTTATACTTTATATAAATGGAATCCTATGGTGCATTTTTGCCTTATCTTGTTCACCACTAGGTTGGTGAATACACTCCAAGCTGGGGGTGGAGTTGCAGCTCATTCCCACTGCAGTCTGGGATTCCATCGTGTGAATATACCCTAATGTGCTTATCCAACCAACATGGGCATTTGGGTGCTTTCCCGTTTGGGGTTATTATGGAGAGAGTTTTTGTGAAGATTTAGGGCGTTTCTCTGGATGAACACACGTACACACTTCTGTTGGGTATACACCTAGGGGTGGGATTGTTAGGTCATATATATTTACATCCAACTCAGGATATTTCATGAAAGAATAAGGAATGTACTGGAAGGAGTTTGCTGGCTCAAAGAATTGACAGAAAACTAGAAGGGAGATCTGTAGGAAGATAGGTGGAGGCAGAGACAGCTCAGCAAGTCCAATAAGTGGAGCAGAAATGACATTCCCAGGACCCTGCCATCCCTGGACATTGCTACCAGTGGACACACCATCCCTTCAGCCTGCCAGCCCTAGACACCTGCCTTACTGGATGACTACCAACCCCGGACCACGGTGACTTCCTTGAAATGAGTCTCAGCATCCCTTCATTTCTGTGTCACATTCTCCAGGCTCATAGCCCCAAGCAAGGGTCCAGGTAGTCCACCCCAGGTCAATGACCACTTCCCGACTGGTATGGGGCTGGAAGCAGGGTGTGCCTGAGAGACAGGGAATACCTCCCTTCTTCAGCTTCCACGGTGGGTACTACACACCACTAAGGTTATATCTAAGGCATGATGTCCCTGCTATAGGAAGGGAGGGGAGATGCTGGACGGTTAAGCTGAAAACACAAAAATGACAACTGTCCTCACAGCTGCACTCCATAATGCAAGCAGGCTTTATTCCATTCATCTTCCACTGACAGAGTCGGGGAGCTCAGTGACATGTCTGTGGATCTCATAGCTCACGTGCAGAAATCTGCATCTAAGAAGAGGGAGCTAGGCCAGGTGCGGTGGCTCACGCCTGTAATCCCAGCACTTCGGGAGGCCAAGGCGGGCGGACCACTTGAGGTCAAGGGTTTGAGACGAGCGTGGCCAACATGGTGAAACTCTGTCTCTACTAAAAATACAAAAATTAGCCAGGTGTGGTGGTGGGTGCCTGTAATCCCAGCTCCTCGGGAGGCTGAGACACGAGAATCGCTTGAACCCAGGAGGTGGAGGTTGCAGTGAGCCGAGATTGCGCCACTGCACTCCAGCCTGGACGACAGAGCAAGACTGTCTCAAAAACAAAAAAAAGAAGTGGAAGCTGGGTTCACGACCACTCTAGGAAGGGTGACCCATCTCAAAATGACATAGGTCTGGAAGAGGTGCAATAAAAGGACAGAAAAGCATCTCATAGGGGGAGGTAAGGAAGAGAGGAGGAAAAGGAAAAGGAGAGAGAACAAAAGGGAGCCTGAATCTGGAGGGACGGGACATGTAAAAACAACGCAGAGAAAGTTTGGTGGAAGAGGAAAGCAGCATTTTTTTGACCTGATTTTGATGCTCTCTGTGCTGTCCCACTTTCTCAGCTTCTCTGATGTGCTTTTGTGACTTGTGCTTTGCTTCATCGGGTTAATGATGTTGGCATGAACTACAGAATAAAGAGATCCTGGTCATAAACTGCACTATCAAAGGATCTGAGGTTTTAGCGTCACATCCAGCATACAATTCTGCTCTAGTTTCAGCATCTTAACAACACTGATATTATCAGTGAGCTGATAATGAAACTCAGAATGGGTTTTAACAAAAGAAGCAAAGAATAAAAATGTCCTAAATCCATTTATGAGGGCAGCAAGTCATTAATTGATCTGAAAATTATATGTGCCTCTTTGCAGGCAATTTTATTCATCCAACAGAACCATGGTCTCTTTGAAGTCATCCATTCTTCCCTATATTATACCATGGCATTTAATACATTTATTTGTTTTAAATGATAATCAGAGCTTTCATCTATGTCACATCTCTGTTTCCTCTCAGACAGAAAGGCAGGATAATTACCATTAAGCCCAATTTGCAGGTTAGAACATTTCAGGCACACAATGGCCTGCTCTGTATCACACAGCAAGTCTTGGTCAGAACTAGGGAGACAGGCAGTTTCCAAATAAACAGAATAGAACAAACTTAGACAAAGAGCTCTGCTCCCACAGTGTATTCTCCTCTTTCATCGGGGTCATATGAGTTTGGTTTAGGTAGGGCCTTCAGGTTGATCTTAGACAATCCAAGAGCTAATTCATCAATGTCTAGCCTTTCCTTGGGGCATCCATGAATCACCTTCCTTAAACTGCCAGAATTCGGCTTCCTCCTGGTGAACGTGGGAAGTGAAGTGTGCCATGGGTTGGTGCAAAAAAGGTGTTTGCTTCACGGTGTGCAGTTAAGATAGTTTGCGGGTCTCCCTACCTGCAAACAGGTAGACCTGGAAGGTAGCACAGTTCAGGGGGCTAAGGGAACTCTGGGGCCGGGCTGTCTGCCCTCAAACCCCAGTTTTTCTGCTAACCATGTGTAACCTTGGGCAAACTACATAAACTTTTTGTGCCTCAGTTTCCCCTCTAAAACAGACATATGGCCGGGTGCACTGACTCACACCTATAATCCTAGCACTTTGGGAGGCCGAGGTGGGCAGATCACTTGAGGCCAGGAGTTGGAGACCAGCCTGGCCAACATGGTGAAAGCCCGTCTCTACTAAAAATACAAAAATGAGCCAGGTGTGCTGGCCTGCGCTTGTCATCCCAGCTACTAGGGAGGCTGAGACATGAGGATCATTTGAACCTGGGAGTGGAGGTTGCAGTGAGCTGAGATTGTGCCATTGCATTCCAGCCTGGGCAATGGAGCGAGACTCTGACTCAACACCACCACCACCACTACCACAACAACAAACAAAAGAAAACCATTCCAATCCTGTGGGTTGTCTTTTCACTAGGATGACGGAAATGCAGGAACTAGAGAACCTCTGCAACTGCTTTCTCCAGGAAAGGAGATGAGAACGTTATATGTTTCAGTTGGCCAAAATGCTCTCATTTGATACTGAATATTGCAAATAAGAGATATTTAGGCATGTTTTTTTTTTTAAATAAGTTATCCCCTGAAATGTATTAATATGATATACACTTGGAAATTGATGTTTAAAAATTTTAAACTCTTAACTCCAGACTTATTTTTACATGGCACATTTGTTATTTGGCTATAACAATTTTGATTTTCTTTGCCAATAATGAAAATAACATGAAAATGAAAAGGAAAAACATGAAATTGAATGCCACGAAGAAAACAGATGAAAACATAAGACAAGCCCTGGCCACCATTGGCTGGGCAGGGATGGGTGTTGGCTCACTCCCTAAGGCTTAGAGCATGCATGGTCTCTACAGGGGACTTTGAAGGTCAGAAAAGGAGGCGTTTTCATCACACATGAAGTTAGAGAATGGTACAAAAGAACTTCTTCTCGCGAAAGGGGTTTTCTGACGCAGGCACTGGAATGATGAGAGGGTCTTCCCGCACGTGAGCTTCACAGTAGGCCAGGAGGTCCGCAGCTGCCTGGGAGACCTGTGAGGGCACAGAGCACAGGCATTTGGTTAAAGGCCCCTTCGCAGAGTGGGTCCAGGGAAGAGGTGTCCACGTAGAGTGAGGATAAGCCCTAGGATAGGCTTTATAGTGTGCACAGCCTACGACAAGGTCATGCCCAGGCTGGAGGGAGGGTTCGTGCAAACCCAGGAGACTGGTTCGAAGTGTGCCTCCAAGAAAGGGAGGCTGCCCTTGCAAGGCAGATCAGCATGGAGACAGGAATAAGGGATGGCAGGAGGCTCAAACAGCCTTGCTATACTTTTGAGTAGGTGAGGAGTGGAGGCTCCAGGACAGTAGTCTCACAATGACTTTGCTAAACCGTTTCTGGAAGAATAAAGCAGAAGGCAGCCCCTGGCCAAGCCAGTGTGATCATATTTATTATCATTATTAGTGGTTTTATTGCAATCCACTCTTGTGACCAACACAGAGAGACACTTCATCCTCCCCAACAGAACTCATATTTAGCTATGTTTTAGAAGTATACATGTTTTATTTTTATTTATTTTTAATTTTTATTTATTTATTTTTTGAGGCAGAGTCTCACTCTGTTGCCCAGGCTAGAGTGCGGTGGCACGACCCCCGCTCACTGCAACCTCCATCTCCCAAGTTCAAGTGATTCTCCTGCCTCAGCCTCCCAAGTAGCTGAGATTACAGGCACCCACCATGCCCAGCTAATTTTTGTATTTTTTGTAGAGATGGGGTTTCACTATGTTAGCTAGGCTAGTCTCAAACTCCTGACCTCAGGTGATCTGCCCACCTCAGCCTCCCAAAGTGCTGGGATTACAGGCGTGAGCAACCGTGCCCGGCCAGCACACATGTTTTAACTTGGGGTGGCCACTCCCCTGCGGCGAGAGGTTCTCCTGACCAGAAAGTTCTTTCCCCTGCATTTCTTTCCAGGCTTATCTGAAGCCTGCTGGTGCATGGCAGTTGTACATCAAACTGTCCCCAAGCTCAAGCTCAGGGGAAGAGCAGGTTGCGAGAGGGCGGGGTGCGGACAAGCATTTGCTAACAGGGAGAGGCAGTTACGAGCTTATTTTGTTCATGGTCTGTGTCATGTGCTTGGCAAATAAATGGCCTGTGCATTAACTCATCCTGCCAATTAGGCTGTTCCGCCTGCGAGTGTTTATTAGAGGATTACAGGCAGGGGTAAGTATATAGCAGTCAAATGAAATCCTTTTAGTACATTCAATGTCTAAATCTTCCCTAGAATGATAAAAATGTTCCACAGATGAAGAAAAAAAATGTTTAGAAAACTCCAGCTACACAGGCCATACACATTCCCTTCTGGGTTTTAAAAATTGGCTCATCTTTCAACATTTTACAGAGATTCTTCTGATTTTCAGCCCAGACCTAACCGCTTTAGCAATGGCTAGGAATAATTTCAGCAGAGATATACAATGAATCAACTAAACACATCACTCAAATAAATCAACTTGAAATTTAGCAGATGAGTCAATGTAAATCCTTACAAAGCCTACATTTGTTAAGAATGTGGCATGGAGAAATGAGTTCCTATAAACATCAGGCTTCTAGTTCTACCCCCACCCCTAAGCCAGCTGTGTGTCCTTGGGTAAGTAGCTCAACCTTTCTGAGCTTCACTTCCTTCATTTGTAAAATTCAGGAGCGTTGGAGAGCTCTAAGGTCCCAATTTACTCTAAAATGTCTATGATTCTACCTTTAATAGCATGGTCAGTATTTAAGATCCTAAAAATGTGTATGTTGAGTTTAATAGGAGTGTTTGAAGTTTGCAGTGGTTTATAGGACGCCCATATAGGAATTTCCCAGATGGGTGAGGCCCAGGGGAAAACTGAATCTGTGGGGGGGTCTGTGAAGCCATCACAAGGACCTAGAGCACAGGCTTAGGGAAACAGACTCTGAGGCCCACAGGGCTGTGATGGACACACAAGAGAATGGAATCACACGGTGAGTGTGCAAACTCAGAGCCGCTGGGCTTGGGAGATTGAGCCCTCCCTTGCTGCCACCTTCTAAGGAAAACCGAGTGCCCTCCCCAGCTGCTGGAGTCATGACCTTCTTAGTTTCCACTCCTGGCTTCTCACCATGCCCAGAGATGCAGAAGCTGCTGAGGTCTGGGGTCTCCCTCATGGCCACCATGTTAGGACAGCCACTAAATTCATCCAGTGGCCCTTCTGGCAACCCCTGGGTGGTGGTCTTCACTGCTGCCTGGGCAGCACATACAAGGGCTGCAGTGTTGGAACAACCACATTGCTCCTCTAGGAGCCACTGTCCTCTTGGGTTTGCTAGGTCTGGACCCCTGACTCCAGTGAGCTCTTCTGGGAGCTCCGTTTAAGAATGGCTCGGCTGGACACAGTGGCTCACCTGTAATCCCGGCACTTTGGGAGGCCAAGGCGGGTGCATCGCCTGAAGTCAGGAGTTCAAGACCAGCCTGGCCAACATGGTGCAACCCCGTCTCTACTAAAAATACAAAAAATTAACTGGGCGTGGTGGTGGGCACCTGTAATCCCAGCTACTCAGGAGGCTGAGGCAGGAGAATTGCTTGAACCTGGGAGTTGGAAGTTGCAATGAGCTGAGATTGCACCACTGCACTCCTGTCTGGGCAATAAGAATGAAACTCCATCTCAAAAAAAGAAAAAAATAAATAATGTCTTGCCTGACCATCATGCCCTCTCCAGTTTTCTAGTTTTCACTCTTCCCATCTACTTCATTTTTTCTGGGCATGCTCCAGTTTCATCTGAATTCTCTATAATCCTCTTTATGTCATTCAGGAAGGAAGTATTCACTATCTACCCTTTAGCTAATTGAAAGGATGCAAGGGAAAGCACAAGGCCCTCTAGAAGATCTCACTGTGATCTCAAACATGATGTAGTCACTATAATAATCCATGTGTGCTGAAATGTCACAAAAGAACACTTGCACGCCACTGTGGATCCATGATGAGGGGCCAGGAGACGGGCATCTGATAACCTGTCCAGTCCCACACAGTAGCAGACACCTTGGTGAATCTGCCCCCGTTCTCTAGAGGGCAATCACTGGACTTCTGGGCCCAGAAACATGATTTCCTGGCACACTCAGAATGGATCATCTCTTGTGGCTGGCCCATATTAAACAAGCTCAGGAGGCAGCTGGATAAAACCATAATACAAATAGAAGCTAACATTTACATTTACTGATCGCTTCTCAGGTGCCAGCACTGTGCTACATGCAACAGATGTACTATGCCATTTAATTCTTCTGATAAGTACGATTCTAGCCTGGGCAACATAACAAGACTCTACCACAAAATGAAAAAAATAGCCAGCCACTCCAGCCTGGGTGGCAGAGCAAGATCCTGTCTCTAAAAACAAACAAAAAAAAAAGCACAATTCTTTATTTATAATTGACAAATAAAAATGGAATATATTTATGGTATACAACATGATGTTTTGATACATGTATACATTATAGAATGGTTAAATCAAGCTAACTGACACATCCATTACCTCATATACTTTTCTTTGTGGTTAAAAACATGTAAAATTTACTCTTTTAGCAATTTTCTTTTTTCTTTTGAGATGGAGTCTCTCTCTGTCATCCAGACTGGAGTACAGTAAGGCTATCTCAGCTCACTGTAACCTCCACCTCCTGGGTTCAAAGAGTTTTCCTGCCTCAGCCTTCTGAGTAGCTGGGATTACAGGCTCCTGCTACCATGCCTGGCTAATTTTTTATTTTTGGTAGAGATGGGGGTTTCACCATGTTGCTCAGGCTGGTCTCAAACTCCTGACCTCAGGTGATCTGCCCGCCTCGGCCTCTCTATAATCTGTGCTGGGATTACAGGCATGAGCCACTGAGTCTGGCAAGCCATTTTCAAGTATACATGATAAGTACTATTCTTAAAGCCACTTTACAGATGGGGAGACTGAGGCACAAAGGTTAAGAAGGTCACCCATCTATTAAGAGAGGAAACCAGGGCTGGGCATGGTGGCTCATGACTGTAATCCCAGCACTTTGGGAGGCCAAAGCGGGCAGATCACGAGGTCAGGAGCTTGAGATCATCCTGGCCAACATGGTGAAACCCCATCTCTACTAAAAATACAAAGATTAGCTGGGCGTGGTGGCCCATGCCTGTAATCCCAGCTACTCGGGAAGCGGAGGCAGGAGAATCGCTTGAACCAGGGAGTCAGAGGTTGCCGTGAGCCGAGATCCGGCCACTGCACTCCAGCCTGGGCAATAGGTCAGATTCCATCTCAAAAAAAAAAAAAAAAAAAGAGAGCGAGAGGGAGAAAGCAGCAGAGTTTGAAGCTAAGCTATACTATACTACAGCCATCCCCAACCTTTTTGGCACCAGGGAGTGGTTTCATGGAAGACAGTTTTTCCACTAACTGGGGATGGGGGGATGGTCTCAGGATGATTCAAGCGCATTACATTTATTGTACACTTTATTTCTATCACTATTACATTGTTATACATGATGAAATAATTATATACAATTCACCATAATGTAGAATCAATGGGAGACCTGAGCTTGTCTTCCTGCAACTAGATGGTCCCATTTGGAGGTGATGGGAGACAGTGACAGATAGTCAGACACAGGATTCTTATAAGGAGCTTGCAACCTAGATCCCTCACACACACAGTTCACAATTGGGTTTGTGCTCCTGTAAGAATCTAATGCGGCTGCTGATCTGACAGGAGGCAGAGCTCAAGCGGTAATGCAAGCAATGGGAGCACCTGTAAATACAGAGGAGGCTTTGCTTGCTCACCTGCTGCTCACCTGCTGCTGTGCGGCCCGGTTCCTAACAGGCCACAGACTAGTACTGGTCCATGGCCCGGGGGTTGGGGACCTCTTTTCTACTCCACAGAATCTACACTCGATACGGAATCTATAATCTACACTGTATGCAGAATCTATACTCAGCCGCCATACTACAGCAGCTGCTTTGTTAATTGACAGTGAGACCCGTAATTCTCAAGCGGCCTGGAACGTTCTCACCTGCCCAGCCAGCGCACAAGAGGAGAGATCCTTG